ACCTGAGGAGCTCTTGGGTGATTCTTTATCTTGGAGCCAGACCTGAGGAGCTCTTGGGTGATTCCTTATTTCAGAGCCAGACATGAGGAGTTTTTGGGTGATTCCTTATTTCAGAGTTGGACATGGGGAGCTCTTGGGTAATTCCATATTTTAGAAGCAAAACCAAGGATCTCTTGGGTGATTTCTTTAGACCCAGAAACAAGGATCTCTTGGGTGATTCCTTGTTTTAGACCCAGAAACAAGGATCTCTTGGGTGATTCCTTGTTTTAGACCCAGACTCGAGGAGCTCTTGGGTGATCCCTTATTTCTGAGCTGGACATGGAAGTGGGATGGATGCAACCCTCAGGTCCTGTGGGTTTGGAGCTGGTCCCTGCTCTCTTTGGGTCACCTCCAGCATTCCAGAGCAGCTCCAGGAGCCGGAGGGCCCAGGCAGGGCTGGTTCTGCCCGTGCCGGGATTCCTCGGCGAGTCCGTGGGTGACTGATCTGATGGGATCTGTGCCAATAAAACCATGGAATCCTTCGGCTGGGGAGCACCGAGCCACGTCCCTCAGGATGTCCTTCCCCTACACTCTGGGGCTGGATGTTGTTCCTTCATCAGCTGAGCCTTCTTCACCCCCTCCCAGGGGTGCCACAGCCCTCCGAGCTCCCAAATCCAGCTTCTGTAAAGTCCTGACCCATCCAGCTCCTCCCAGGCTGGGCTGAAGCAGCAGTAGCTGCCAAGGGTGGCTTTTCATCCTGCTGGGATGAGCTGGAGAGCCTGGGAATTCACCTCCCGGGAGGTGTTTATCCACTCCCTGCTCCGACGTCCCCGGGGCCCTTTGCTGTGGCTTTTCCTGCCGGAGCAAAGTCCGGCAGCGGGAGCAGCAGCCCCTGGAAGCTGATTGCACAAGCCCAGCCATTCCCAGCCCTTGAACACACCAACTTCCAGCACCTCGTGCCTGGGGAGGGGCGAAGGGACCTGTGCTGATCCCGGAATCCGGGCGCGACACAACGGCCCCGGCTCCGGCTCCGGCAGCGGCCGGCGGATCCCGAGCGGGAAATGCTCCGTGCTGCCGGGAATCCAGGCCTGGGAGAGCTCCTGGCCCCTCAAGGTCACCTGCCCACAGGTTGGGGAGCGTCCTGGAACACGGCCCTGAGCCAGGAGGAGGAGGGTCAGGAACGTCCCTCGGGTCTGTCCGCAAACGTCCCGGAGCTCCCGCGGGAGCAGGGCCTGGAGCGCTGGAAAACCGACCCCCAGCGTGGGAAAACTGACCCCCGGCGCGCCTGTTTTGGGGAGGAAAGATGGAATTGGTGTCTCCGAGGCTTCCCGTGGCAGAGCCTGTCCTCAGCCAGCTCTCCCGTGTCCAGCTCTCCCTGTCCAGCTCTCCCTGTCCAGCTCTCCCGTGTCCAGCTCTCCCATGTCCAGCTCACTCTGGCACCGGGTCGGAGAAGCGATCGGCTCGTCCGGCTCCAGGAGAACCTTTGGATGCTCACGTGAGACCCTGGGAGAATCCTTTCTCCTGGGAAGTTGGCACTGTGAGCACGGAGCGATGGTGGGCCCTTGGGATGGAGGAGCAGCGTCTACCCCGAGAATCTGGGGTGGGAATACCTTGGAAGAGCTGGAATTCTGCCTGGGTGCCCACCCAGGCGGCTCCAGACTGGGCCTGATCCGTGCGGAGCACCCGGGATGCTCATCCAGGTGCTTTTGGTGGACAGGGAATGTCGGGAGACGGGTGGGCACCAAAAGTCACCACGAACACGGGCCCAGCTTGGGTTGGCTCTGCCAGCGTGGCCTCGGGGAGCTTTGGGCTGGAAGAGCCACCTTTGGGGCCGTGGGATGGATTTGGGGGTGGGCTGGGATGTGGGAAATCAGGCTCCTACTTCCCTGCATTTCCAGCCAGGATTTGGGGAGCTGAACGGCTCCAACGGGGCTGGGGGCTGGAAACCCCCCATTTCTTGGCCCTGTTGGGTGACCAGTGAACGGTTGGAGTCCATCTCAAGGGTCTTTTCCAACCTTTAGGATTCCGCGGTTCTTCTTTTCTGACCTCAGCGATTCCATGACTGGACATTCCCAGCGTGGGATTTCCCCTGGCGCTGGCAACGACCCCAAATCTGTGCCGTCCAAAGGGGCGGGTCACCCACTCTGTTGTTGGGTTGCGTTGGGTTGGGTTGAGTTGGGTTGAGTTGGGTTGGGTTGAGTTGGGTTGGGTTGAGTTGGGTTGAGTTGGGTTGGGTTGAGTTGGGTTGGGTTGAGTTGGGTTGAGTTGAGTTGGGTTGAGTTGGGTTGGGTTGAGTTGGGTTGAGTTGGGTTGGACTGGGTTGAGTTGGGTTGGGTTGAGTTGGGTTGAGTTGGGTTGGGTGGTAACGCACCGGCGAACACCCAGCTCGGCTCCGGCACCACCGCGGCACCGGGACACGGAGTTTTCCCACCCTGTGGGTCCAACTGCTGGTTTTCCTGGGCGCTGCCAATTCCTCTTGTGTTTTCGGGCCGGGAAAGGCCGCCAAAATTTCTGGTTTTCCGGATTTTTTATGCTCTGCAGGCGCCGTATCCGCCACGGGGGCCAGCGGGGGATTCTTCCTTCTGCTCCCAAATTAACACCCAAAGTCAGAGCGTGAGCTGGAGCCGGATCCAGGCTGTGATTCCAGAGCCCGACTCCGGCCTTGCGACACCTCTCCTTGTTCAGGAGATGATGCAACAACTCAGCCCTTGCCCAACCCCGGGGCTCAAAGGGCCCCTTGGCTCGGCTGCAGGAGAAGGAAAACGCCCCTTCCTGCCTCTTCTCCCAGGTTCTTTGGGCAGGCTGGAAAAAACCCGGAGCCTGGGAGAAGGTGTGGGCTCAGGGGAGGCGTTTTGGGGGAGATTGTTGGGTTTTGAGGGGTTTGGGAAGCCCTTGGATCGCTCAGATTAGTGATGTCATAAATTCCTGCCCAATTTGCTCCATTTTTGGGTTTTAAGGCTCTTGGTTGGACTCTCTGGTTGAGGGATCCCCTCCCTGTGGGAGCTGATGTGGGGTCTGGGTGGAAACCACCACCCAAAAGACCTCTTGGCTTTAGACTCTTGAGTTTCTTTGGGATTTTTATCCCCGAACCACGGAATCTCTGGGGTTGGAAGGACCCTCCAGAGGTTCCATCCTGGGCAGTGTTGGGTGTTGGTTCTGCCAACACCTCCACGACCTTGCTCCTTGTTAACCTTCAAACGTGAGCGACTCTGGTGCCAAATAAACCCGACCCTCGGTGCAGGACACGAGTGGTGACGTGGAGAAGCGCCTCGAGGCGTGTCCTGGTGGTTTTGGGGTGGGGGGGGAAGGTTTAGGGGAACTTTTTACACCTGGCTGAGCCTCTCAGACTTGGCATCAACCTCCCTGTGGTGGCCTCGACGAGTTTGGGCTCTTTGCTCCTCTGGAGACGTTGCTGTTTCTCAACCCACGACCTTTCAAACCTTCTGTGTAACAAACCACCCCAGATCCGTGGAGATCCAGCTCCACCCTGTCCAGGAGAGCTCCTGCTCTCCCTGGAACCTCTCCTGGACTCTGAAATTCCCTTTTCCCCCCCCCTTATCTCTGTTTTCTCCTTGTGTTTTGGCCACGGGCTCACGTGACGCTCGCTTTGAAAGCGTCTTCTTGTCCTCTCCAAGTTGTTTTAACTCTTGGGGCAGAGGAAAAACCACGAGGAGAAGCCTCGGGGCCTCTGATAGGAGGGAGTTTGACCTTGTGGGGAGGAGAGACCTTGAGCTGAGGAAGGATCCCGGCTCCTCCGGGCGCTCCCGGGAGAGGCCGTGGCCGCGCTCCCGGGGCCGGAGGAGCCGCCGCTCCTGGATTACCATAGAGGGTAAATTGGAGCCTCCTAAGTCCGAGCCATTAAACTCCCTCATCTCCCGCCGTTTCCAAGAAACCGGGATTTGCAGGGAGGGAGATAAATCACCGCCTGTTTTCCTCGCAAAGGAGGCAGTTTCTAAAAATAGGAGTCGGAGCTGGAGCTCCGGAGAACAAAAGAGTCCCTGGAAGGCTCCTGCCACCACCGGCCCTTCCCGGCGATCCGGGCGCTGCCTCCTCCGGAGGCTTTGGGGGAGTGTTGGACCTCTGGGATCACACCAGGGCTTTGTGGGAGTGCTGGATCTCTGGGATTGCACTGAATCTCTGGGATCACACCAGGGCTTTGGGGGAGTGTTGGATCTCTGGGATTGCACTGAATCTCTGGGATCACACCAGGGCTTTGGGGGAGTGTTGGATCTCTGGGATTGCACTGAATCTCTGGGATCACACCGAGGCTTTGTGGGAGCACTGGATCTCTGGGATTGCACTGGGGCTTTGTGGGAGTGCTGGATCTCTGGGATTTGGGAGGGCTGGATCCCTCTCCACGGAGCTCAGCCATGGCTCTGGATACCTCTCCATGGGAACTCAGCCATGGCTCTGGATCCCTCTCCATGGCTCTGGATCCCTCTCCATGGATCAGGCCCACAAGAGCCCGGCTCCATGCCAGAGCTCTCCATGGAGCAGGGCCAGCTCTCCCCCAGGAGCTCAGCCATGGCTCTGGATGCTCTCCATGGCTCTGGATCCCTCTCCATGGATCAGGGACCATGGGAGCTCAGCCATGGCTCTGGATCCCTCTCCATGGATCAGGCCCACAAGAGCCCGGCTCCGTACCAGAGCTCTCCATGGAGCAGGGCCAGCTCTCCCCCGGGAGCTCAGCCATGGCTCCGGATCCCTCTCCATGGCTCTGGATCCCTCTCCATGGTTCTGGATCCGTCTCCATGGCTCTGGATCCCTCTCCATGGCTCCGGATCCCTCTCCATGGCTCTGGATCCCTCTCCATGGCTCTGGATCCCTCTCCATGGATCAGGCCCACGGGAGCCGGGCTCTGTTCCGGAGCTCTCCGTGGAGCAGGGCCAGCTCTCCCCCGGGAGCTGATCCAGCGGCGGGCGCATCTTCCCGTTAAACTGCTTATTGCGGGAGCGGCTCCGCGTCCAGAGCTGCTCCTGGGATTAAACCCTCTTAAGTGTGGCTCGGAAATCCGCCCGTAATCCGGCCCGGCCGCGGGAGCAGAGGGGGTGGATGTGCCGGGAGAGCCTTTGGAACCCCCCCCAAAATCCCTTTATCCCGGTTTCTGCCGGGAAAGCCCCACCTGGGCCGCGCTGACCTCGGTGCTTTCCTCTCTTCCAGATGAGCCTGATCCCGCCCTCTCCGGAGCCGTCCCGGCCGTGGCTCACAGGACGGAGCTCGGGTGAGTTCCCCGGGGACGTGGCAGCACGGGGAGTGTCCGGGAGCTCGTCTGCCCCTCGCTGACTGTGCTCCAGTTACACAGCATCCCGAAATATCTCCCCGGCTGTGCCCAGGGGGTTGTCCCACCTCCGAGGACGTCGGCGGGTCCTCGTTCCGAGCAGTGGTGGCTGCTCCAATTCCTCTCGTTTGTCCCGCTTCCCAAGGAGCCATCCTGCTTCTGCCTGTCCCAAATCACTCCTTGGAGCCGTCCCAGTTCCCTTCAGAGCATTCCAGTTCCCCTCAGAGCCATCCCAGTTCTGCTTGAAGCCATCCTGGCTTCCCTCTTGCCATCACTGTTCCCCTTGGAGACATCCCAGCTCTCTCTGGGGCCATCCTGGTTCCTCTTGGAGCCATCCCAGTTCCCCTTGAATCCATCCCAGTTCCCCTTGAATCCATCCCAGTTCCCCTTGAAGCCATCCTGGCTCCCTTTGGAGCCATCCCAGTTCCCCATGGAGCCATCCCAGTTTCCCTCAGAGCCATCACGGTTCCCCATGGAGCCATCCCAGTTCCCCATGGAGCCATCCCAGTTCCCCATGGAGCCATCCCAGTTTCCCTCAGAGCCATCCCAGTTCCCCATGGAGCCATCCCAGTTCCCCATGGAGCCATCCCAGTTCCCCATGGAGCCACCCCAGTTTCCCTCAGAGCCATTCCAGTTCCCCATGGAGCCATCCCAGTTTCCCTCAGAGCCATCCCAGTTCCCCATGGAGCCATCCCAGTTCCCCATGGAGCCACCCCAGTTTCCCTCAGAGCCATCCCAGTTCCCCATGGAGCCATCCCGGTTCCCCATGGAGCCATCCCAGTTCCCCATGGAGCCATCCCAGTTCCCCTCAGAGCCATCCCAGTTCCCCATGGAGCCACCCCAGTTTCCCTCAGAGCCATCCCAGTTCCCCATGGAGCCATCACGGTTCCCCATGGAGCCATCCCAGTTCCCCATGGAGCCACCCCAGTTCCCCATGGAGCCATCCCAGTTCCCCATGGAGCCACCCCAGTTCCCCATGGAGCCATCCCGGTTCCCCCCGGCGCTCCCGGGGCCGTCCCTGCCGGCAGGAACAGAAATCCTGGGAGCTGGACGCTCCATTTGGGGTGTCCCAAAGCTGCCCAGGGGTGTCCCGCTGGCTCCCAGCACCCTGGAAAAGGCAGGATTTGGGATTCCAGCCCGAGTCCTGTGCAGGGACAGGATCCTTGTCCCTCCCCGTGGCACCGGGATCGTGCCGGGCCCGGGATCGCTCCGGCTGAGCCGATTCCCGGCGCGTTTTAATGGGCTTCTTTTAGTCCTTCTGTTCCCTGATCCTTCCCGGGCCGGCGCTTCCCTTCCCGAGTTATTTTTAATGACGTTCCCGAGGTTTGCAGGACGAGTGGGAATCACATTTCCCTGATAACACCCCACGGACGGCGGCCCCTCCGCCCCCCGGCCGCCCTCCCTCATCCCGAGGGAAAACAGGGACAGGTTTGGAGCCGGCAGGTCCCACCGTGGGGCGGGAGGGGCGGTTTGCCCCTGAACTCGGCTTTTTCCGGGAATAAACCGGAAATAAACGGGTTCAAAGAGGAGGGAGGGAGGCAGTGGGAGATCCGTACGGAGCCGGCGTGAGATCCATAGGGAGCCGGCGTGAGATCCATATGGAGCCGGTGTGAGATCCGTAGGGAGCCGGTGTGAGATCCGTACGGAGCCGGTGTGAGATCCGTAGGGAGCCGGTGTGAGATCCGTAGGGAGCCGGTGTGAGATCCATAGGGAGCTGGTGTGAGATCCGTAGGGAGCCGGTGTGAGATCTGTAGGGAGCCGGCGTGAGATCCATACGGAGCCAGTGTGAGATCCGTACGGAGCCTGTGTGAGATCCATACGGAGCCGGCATTCCTGCCATCCCTGACAAAGGCGCTTTGTTCTCCCAGCAGCACAACCTGACCCAGGAGAAGGTGTTTTGCTGACCCTGGGGCAGCTCCTCACACAAGGCCTCAGCTCTCCAGGCTCCTCCGGGTGTCCGGCTCCAGGATCCCGCGGGTTCCTTCCCCCCGGATGGTTTATCCGGGGGCAGGAGCCGGGAGGAGGTTCCCGTCCCGCTCTCGTGCCGTGGGAGCCGTGTGGGAGGAGAACCTGGGCACGGAGCAGAGCCACGGAGTCGTGGGGTGGTTTGGGTTGGGAAGGGCCTCAAAGATGATCCGGTTCCAGCCCAGAAGCCGGGACAGGGATTGGGATGTGGAGGAGTCTCCCCGCAGGGTTTGCCCCGACTCTGCTCGGCCCCAGAGTCATCCCCCAACCCCCGGGAACCTGCAGGTCGGGGCTCCTGGATCTCCTGGAGCCCAGTTGAGGAACCTGGATTTGGGGATTTGGGGCCACCCAAGGCTCTGCTTCCCCCCCCGAGCTTCCAACAGAAGGGCTGGAGGCTCCTGAGATCCCGTCTCATAGCTGTTGGTCCTCGAGGCATCTTGGAGAACATCCAGTGCCTCAGTTGGACCCTCCCGAGGTTTTTTCTTCCCTGAAAAAGCCTCCCACCCGAATTTAGGACTTCCAAGAGCACCAGGCTGGGCCTGCCCGTGGATGTGCTCAGCCCCTCCAACCCCCGGCACGTTCCGGTGCCGTGGGGGTGGATCCCCCCATCCCGGTGGCATCAGGCCCCCCAGTCCCACTGCAGGGCTCACTCCATGGATTCTCACCTTCTCCTGCTGCTCCAGGGGGTGTTCCCAGCTTCGGGAAGGGTTTGGAAGTGGATGAGGAGCGACCACCTCGATCCCTTGGGTTCTCTGTACAGGAAAGGGAGACTTCCCGTTCCTGTGGAGAGGGATCGCCCGGGAATGGCCAATTCAGTCATGGAGACAAACCACCCTTTGGTCCAGGAGGCCTCTGGTGTGCTCCATGTTTATTTTCATGCACTTGGAAGAGCTCCTTGGCCTGATGGTGACACGAGTCACCCAGAGCTGGGTGAAAGGGGTCCCGGCATCCCGAGGAGCTGGGAGGGGAAAGGGAAGTTGGGAGGGAGGGGGTGGAGCACAGGGAAAAGACGCCTCTGGCCCACGGTGGTGATGACGTGGTGACGGGAACCCAGTGCTCCCATCACACCCAGCGGGGAGTACCAGGAGAACATCTTGGAGCAGGCCTGGAGTAAGAGGCGGGAACTCTTCCGGCTCCACGTGGCCGTGGCAGGGTGGGAAGGGGTGGCCCCGTTTCCATCCCAGCTCTTTAATCTTTGGGAGTTGCCACAAACCCCGTGTCACGCCGGGACACCACGAGGCTCCCTCTGCTCCCGGGGCGCCGGGAACGTCGGTGTGACCCCCCCCCCGTCCCCCGGTTAACTCTCCAAACTTCCTTCCAGCCCCGCCAACGAGGAGCTTTTGGAGTTCCAGCAGGGCCTGTACAGGACGGACGCCCGGAGCGCTCTGGAGCTGCGGAACATGACGGTGTCCGGCGACCTGTCCTGGGACGGCGACGGGAGGCAGGAAAGCACTTTAGAGAGACTCTCCGGCCCCAAGGACTCCAAGGAGGCGGCGTTTGCCGGGGAGCCCCGGGGGGCGGATCCCGAGCAGCTGGAGAGCGACTCGGAGGGGCCGGAGGGCGGGCGGGCGGCGGAGACGACGCCGGGTCCTCGCGCCGCCGAGGAGAAATATCTCAGAACCGAACCAAAGCAGCTCGAAGGGCTCGGCAGGGAGCACCTGGAGAAAGGCAGGAGGGGAGTCCAGAGGGTCGACTGGATTCCCAGGCCCAACAGGAGCCCGAGCCCTCCCTACAAAGACGTAACCAAGCCGACAGATGTAGCAGCCAACCTGCCCTTCCGGGGCCAGGCCGTGCGCGAAGTGCCTCCTCCGCTGCCCCCGCCGGTGTTCAGGAAAACGCTCAACCCCGTCCTGGGCAAATCCAAAACCCTGGAGGGCTCCTCGTCCCACAGGAAGGGGCTGGTGGTGGACTCGGACGTGGCCGAGGTGGCCCCGCTCTCGACGGCCGAGTGGATGCTGCAGAAGCCGAGTCTCCAGCTCGGCGCCGAGCTGGCCGTGGGCAAACAGTCGTGGACGGTGAACGCCGAGGACTCGGTGGAGCGGGTGCCGCTGATGTCCCTGGACCCCGCTCCCTGCAGCTCCTACGACGTGGAGATGAGGCCCTACGTGTGCAGCGTCCTGCTGGAGGAGCAGGGCAAGGAGGAGCTGGGCCAGGAGGAGGATCCCTCGGTCTACACCTGCATCGAGTGCAGCATCTACTTCAAGAAGAAGGAGCACCTGATGGATCACATGCTCCAGCACAACCGCGGGCCGGGCAGGGACCAAGACGGGGACGCCCTGGGGGGGCAGCGCCAGCTGTGCTGCAGCGAGTGCGGGTGGGCCTTCGGGGACCCTGCGTCGCTGGAGCAGCACAGGAGGCTCCACCAGGAGTCGCGGGAGAAGATCATCGAGGAGATCCAGAAGCTGAACGAGTTCCCGGACGAGGGCCGGGAGGCGCGGCTGCAGTGCCCCAAGTGCGTCTTCGGCACCAACTCCTCCAAGATCTTCGTGCAGCACGCCAAGATGCACGTCAAGGAGAGGAAGGACCAAGGGGCCAAGAGCTCTTCGGGGCTCTTCGGCAGCGCGGGCGGCGGGGAGAGCCGGGACGGCCCCGCGCGCGGCCTCTACAAACACTTCAGGGCCAACGAGCACCCGGCCCTGCCGGCGCCGGCGCCGCCCCACGGCAGCGCCAAAGGGCTCAGCGCCTGCGTGCTCTGCGGCTTCCCGGCCCCCAACGAGCACATCCTCAAGGAGCACATGAGATACGCCCACTCCCACCTCTCCTGGGAGGCCGAGGCGTACGAGGATGATCCCAACCAGCCGGGCACCAGCAGGGACGCCTACAGCCCCGCCCGGCCTGGCCGCTTCCCGGAGGCCGAGTATTTCGGCAAAGCCGACCGGCTCTTCCCCCCCGCGCCCCGGGAAAGCGCGGCCCACTACGACCCCCCCCACGGGTTCGCCCTGGCCCAGCCCCGGCTCGACAAGAGCAACGGGGCCGCCAAAAAGGACTACCAGGCCTCGGGCTTTCACGCCAGGAAGGCGGCCCCGTTCGCCGCCCCGCACAAAAACCTGGGGCTGTCCGGCTTTCCCTCCGCCAGGGCTTATTCCCAGTTCGCTCTGCAGCAGCTGAAGAAGAAAGCGGCGGCTCAGCACCTTGAAGGAGACGGCGACGGCCTCCGGAGCCACCCCGGGGGGCTGGAGGAGCTCCGGCAGAAGTGGATGTTGGGCGGCGACGGCGGGAGCGCGGAGGAGGAGATCCCCGTGGGCGCGGAGGTGGATCCGGGCGAGAGCAGGGCCCCCAGAGCCGTCACCATCCCTCAGGCTGCCTTGGACCTCAAGAGGACGTTCAGGGACACCCTGAGGGCCACGGACTCGTCGGTGGCGTCGGAGGAGCAGCAGCAGCAGCTGAGGATGATGGTCCCCCTGGTCCTGCTGGAGGAGGTGAACCTGCACCCCAAGGCGGCCAAGCGGCCGCGGGGGAAGGCGTTCAAGAGGAAGGCGATGCTCCCGCCCCGGGATTTCGTGATGGAGGAGCCCCTTCCCTTGGACGTGCTGCTCTTGGACGCTCCCCTGGAGGGTCCCCTGGAGCTCGACGACCTGCTGGACTCCGACGCCGGCATGTTGAAGAACGAGGAGAGGAAGTGTCCCTACTGCCCCGACCGCTTCCACAACGGCATCGGGCTGGCCAACCACGTGCGGGGCCACCTCAACAGGGTGGGCGTGAGCTACAACGTCCGGCACTTCATCTCGGCCGAGGAAGTGAAGGCCATTGAGCAAAAGTTTTCCTTCCAAAAGAAGAAGAAAAAAGGTAGTATGTATTCAATTCAGCCTGTTTCTGTTCTCTGGGGTTGCTCTCGGGGGTGTTCTCCTCCCGCCCAGGACCGGGTACGTATGGTGCGGTGCTGGGCTGAGCCGTGGGCGTTTGGTGGCCGGGGGGGTGACCGACGCCCTCTGTCCCCCCTCTTAGAGGCCTGACCCGGGGGTTCAGTGCCACCCCTGACTCTCTGTCCTTCCTCGCAGTCGCCAACTTCGACCCGAGCACCTTCAGCCTGATGCGCTGCGAGTTCTGCGGCGCCGGCTTCGACACGCGGGCGGGGCTCTCCAGCCACGCCAGGGCCCACCTGCGGGACTTCGGCATCACCAACTGGGAGCTCACCATCTCGCCCATCAACATCCTCAAGGAGCTGTTGGCCAACTCCTCGGAGCACCCGCTGCTGCAGGCGGCGCTGGGGGCCGAGCCCTCGTCGCCGGGCCGGGACAGGGACGCGCTCGGCGCCTTCGCCCCCCGCAAGAGCGTCACCCCCATGGCCCCGCTGTCCCCCTTCCCCTCGGCCTGGGGAGAGGAGCCCCTGCAGCCCTACAGAGACGGTGAGTGAACCCCGAAAGGCTCGCGATCGCCCCCAGCCCCGCGGGGTGGGGTTGGGTTGGGTTGAGTTGGGTTTGGTTGGATTGGGTTGGGTTGGGTTGGGTTGAGTTGGGTTGGGTTGAGTTGGGTTGAGTTGGGTTGGGTTGGGTTGGGTTGGGTTGGGTTGGGTTGGATTGGGTTGGGTTGGGTTGGGTTGGGTTGAGTTGGGTTGGGTTGGGTTGGGGTGAGCTGGCGTCGGTCGCTGCGTCGTTGTCTCTCTGTGCTCTCTGGGGTCTGAGGTGGTTTGGGGGTGGGTGGTGGAGGCGGTGGCAGGTGGAGGAGCCCGGCAGTGCCACCACCTCCTGAGGGGTCTCATCCGTCGCCGTGGCTGTTGGGGCTTTGTGCTTTGGGAAGCGTCGCGTTCGGGAACGAGGTTTCCGTCGGGAAACCCCTGCAGCTTCACCCCCTTGGGGAAGGGAGGAGGGTGTGGTCTGGGGTCCAGTCCAGCCAAGACAGGACACAACCTCTGCCCTGGGGGTCCGTGTTCCCCCCCCAGGTGTGTTGGTACCGTGGGGGGAAGCTTGAGGGGTCCTTCCCGAACGGATTTGGGTCTGAGCTGGTCCCTCTCCCTCAGCACTGTTCAAACAGGGTCAGTCCAGAGCAGAGCCCATCCCAAACAGCTCCCAGGGCTCAAAACCCTGAGCTTGCACCAAAACCTGTGACCTGCTCTCCTCCCAAAGGCTCAAAACTTAAACCTGTCCTCCCAAAGACTGAAAACTTAAACCTGTCCTCCCAAAAACTAAAAACTTAAACCTGAGCTTGCCCCAGAACCTGCAATGGGCTGTTCCCTCAAAGGCTCAAAACTTAAACCTGTTCTCCCAAAGGCTCAAAACTTAAACCTGTTCTCCCAAAGGCTCAAAACTTAAACCTGTTCTCCCAAAGGCTCAAAACTTGCTCTTGCAAGAGGAGAAGCCGCCCCCCAGCTCTGGAAGCCCTTGGAGCGGCTCCTCGCTGGGTTCTGCTCGGCCCGGTCCCGTCTCAGATCCATCCCTGCAGCCGTGACTGGAATGTCAGGGAGCTGCTAATCCCGGCTCTCCCGTGTGCTGGGACACCCTGGAACGAGTCCTGAGCGTGATGAGGGCGAATTAAACCCTGAACAAACCCAAACCCCTCATTTTTAGCCCATCGGCCCTTGGCAGGGGAGCGGTTGGGGAGGTCGATGCCAACGAGAGGGTTTTGGAGGCTCCGCTTCGTTCCAGCTGCCAGGGGCTGGATGTTCCCGCTGGTTCAGGTCTCCCAGTGCCCAAAATTCCCTGGCACGAGCTGGTGTCGATGGTGCTGCTGCTCTGCAGGGCTCGGGTGGGAAGGATTCCGTGTTCCGTAAGAGCCGTCGGAGCAGAGGTTGGGTCAGACGCGGGTCCCGCATCAAACGGGAGCTTTTAGGGGAAAATAAGTGGGTCATGTCTTGAAATAGGATCTCACTCGAGGTTTTCTCAGCGTGTGACGCTGGCCCGGGGTCGGGGACGTCTCCTGCTCCTGCTGTTCCCGGCTCCAGTGGCCTGGAAGTGCTGCTGGAGGAACCGGGTCGGGAATTGTGCCCGGAGGTCAAAGGAGTTGAGTTGGGGCTGGTTTGGGGTTAAATCAGAGCTTTGGTTCTACCCAGAGGAGGTGAGGAGGGACCTGTTTGAGCACAGGAGCTCAAACCCCCCTTAGGCCGCGCTCCCGGGTCTGAATTCCGTGCTCCCTGTTCCCTCAGGAGTTGTGTTCCCTCACGGGACTCTCGGGGGGACGATTCCAAGAAAAAGGGCAAATTTGGAAAGCTCAGAACCCCCCCCAGCCCACTGACCTGGGGTGTGACCCAAGCACTGGGATCCCATGGAACCCTCTGCGTGGAAATCCCAGCCTGGAGTGTCTCAGACTCCCCACGAATCCAAACCCTCCTTGTTTTCCTTCCAACCCCGACGGGATTTGCCGGGTCTGTCGCAACCAGGCCCCAGGATTGGCAGTATTTGCTTAACTGGGGCTGTGGGGAGGAGCTGAGCAAACAGGGAAAGGGCTTTGGAGGCGGGAATGCCGAGCCGGGAGCCGGGATTTTGGAGGCCAGCTGTGCCCAGGGCTGATCAAATCCCTGGGGGGACCGGGAGAACCCCCTGGGAGCTGCTCGGGGTCTGCAGGGATGAAACCTCAGCCGCTGGTCCTGGGGGAGAGGGAGCAGCTCCCGGGGGCACCTGCCTGGATTAACGTCCTGGGAATTAGCCTAATTCCCGAATTTATGGAGGGATTTTAGCACCGTTAATGGGATAAAGACCATTAGCAGGTTACAGAGGCAGGAGGATCTCCTGGAGCATCAGTGGCTCTGCACCAGACCCGGTGTCATCTCCACCAGTGGCTCTGTGCTGTCGTGGCCCGGGGACAACGTGTTTTATGCCAATTCCCGAATTTATGGGGGGATTTTAGCACCATTAATGGGATAAGGGTCGTTAGGAGGTTACAGAGGCAGGAGGATCTCCTGGAGCATCAGTGGCTCTGCCCTGGACCCGGTGGTGGCTGCAGAGGTGCCTCTGTACCCCGGGGGCCGATGTGTTTTGTGCCAATTCCCAAATTTTTCGAGGGATTTAAGCACCATTAGTGAGATAAAGGCCATCAGCAGGTTAGAAAGGCAGGAGGGTCTCCTGGAGCATTGCTGGCTCTGCTCTGGTGGCTCTGGAGGTGTCCCAGATGTCCCAGCTGTGGATGGAGGTGTCCCAGCTGTGGATGGAGGTGTCCCAGCTGTGTCTGGAGGTGTCCCAGCAGTGTCTGGAGGTGTCCCAGCTGTGGATGGAGGTGTCCCAGCAGTGTCTGGAGGTGTCCCAGCAGTGTCTGGAGGTGTCCCAGCTGTGTCTGGAGGTGTCCCAGCTGTGTCTGGAGGTGTCCCAGCTGTGTCTGGAGGTGTCCCAGCTGTGTCTGGAGGTGTCCCAGCTGTGGATGGAGGTGTCCCAGGTGTTCCAGCAGTGTCTGGAGCTGTCCCAGCTGTGGATGGAGGTGTCCCAGGTGTTCCAGCTGTGTCTGGAGGTGTCCCAGCTGTGGATGGAGGTGTCCCAGGTGTCCCAGCAGTGTCTGGAGGTGTCTCAGATGTCCCAGCTGTGGATGGAGGTGTCCCAGGTGTCCCAGCTGTGGATGGAGGTGTCCCAGCTGTGTCTGGAGGTGTCCCAGTTGTGGATGGAGGTGTCCCAGTTGTGGATGGAGGTGTCCCAGCTGTGGATGGAGGTGTCCCAGCAGTGTCTGGAGGTGTCCCAGCTGTGGATGGAGGTGTCCCAGCTGTGTCTGGAGCTGTCCCAGCAGTGTCTGGAGCTGTCCCAGCTGTGGATGGAGGTGTCCCAGGTGTTCCAGCTGTGTCTGGAGGTGTCCCAGCTGTGTCTGGAGGTGTCCCAGGTGTCCCAGCTGTGGATGGAGCTGTCCCAGCTGTGGATGGAGGTGTTCCAGATGTCCCAGCTGTGGATGGAGGTGTCTCAGATGTCCCAGCTGTGTCTGGAGGTGTCCCAGCTGTGGATGGAGGTGTCCCAGATGTCCCAGCTGTGGATGGAGGTGTCCCAGCTGTGTCTGGAGCTGTCCCAGCTGTGGATGGAGGTGTCTCAGATGTCCCAGCTGTGGATGGAGGTGTCCCAGCAGTGTCTGGAGGTGTCCCAGCTGTGGATGGAGGTGTCTCAGGTGTCCCAGCTGTGGATGGAGGTGTCCCAGCTGTGGATGGAGGTGTCCCAGCTGTGGATGGAGGTGTCTCAGGTGTCCCAGCTGTGGATGGAGGTGTCCCAGCTGTGGATGGAGGTGTCTCAGATGTCCCAGCTGTGGATGGAGGTGTCCCAGGTGTCCCAGCTGTGGATGGAGGTGTCCCAGCAGTGTCTGGAGGTGTCCCAGCTGTGGATGGAGGTGTCTCAGGTGTCCCAGCTGTGGATGGAGGTGTCCCAGCTGTGGATGGAGGTGTCCCAGCTGTGGATGGAGGTGTCTCAGGTGTCCCAGCTGTGGATGGAGGTGTCCCAGCTGTGGATGGAGGTGTCTCAGATGTCCCAGCTGTGGATGGAGGTGTCCCAGGTGTCCCAGCAGTGTCTGGAGCTGTCCCAGCTGTGGATGGAGGTGTTCCAGATGTCCCAGCTGTGTCTGGAGGTGTCTCAGATGTCCCAGCTGTGGATGGAGGTGTCCCAACTGTGTCTGGAGCTGTCCCAGCTGTGGATGGAGGTGTCCCAGCTGTGGATGGAGGTGTCCCAGCTGTGGATGGAGGTGTCCCAGGTGTCCCAGCTGTGGATGGAGGTGTTCCAGCAGTGTCTGGAGCTGTCCCAGCTGTGGATGGAGGTGTCCCAGGTGTCCCAGCTGTGTCTGGAGCTGTCCCAGGTGTCCCAGCAGTGTCTGGAGCTGTCCCAGCCGTGGACGGTGTCGATGTCGCAGCTCAACACCTGCAGCAGAGCCACTCCCTCCCTCCTTCCTCTGCTCTTCCCAAGGTCTAGACCCCCAGGAGGTCCCTGCAGGACACCTCTGGAGCTGCTCAGAGCTCCACATATCAGCAGAGCCTTCCCCGAAGCCCCGGGCGTCGAGGGCAGGGAGAACCAACCCCCTTTCTGAGGGATTTTGGGCCGTTTCTGGCGGTTTGTGGTTTGTGCCGAGGCGGCAGCGGGAGGTGGGGGGGGAGGACTCGGCTCGGGGAGCTGGGATGGGCTGTGGGGCTCAGCACCAGCAGGATGAGCTGTGGGGCTCAGCTGGGGCTCAGCACCAGCAGGATGAGCTGTGGGGCTCAGCTGGGGCTCAGCACCAGCAGGATGAGCTGTGGGGCTCAGCTGGGGCTCAGCACCCCACAGCAGCACCTGGGATGGGCTGTGGGGCTCAGCTGGGGCTCAGCACCCCACAGCACCAACAGGGATGAGCTGTGGGGCTCAGCTGGGGCTCAGCACCACCTCCCCAGCAGGGATGAGCTGTGGGGCTCAGCACCCCACAGCACCAACAGGGATGAGCTGTGGGGCTCAGCTGGGGCTCAGCACCCCACAGCACCAGCAGGGCTGAGCTGTGGGGCTCAGCTGGGGCTC